TATATGAGGATAATAATTTACACATAACCATTTATAACTAATGTATGTGATTATATCATCCCATATATTACTTATATATGTAGTTATATATATATAAATGTGTGTGTATATATACATATATGTATGTAATGACTTCCAAATGTTATGATAACGAGTTCTATGGATTTAAATAAATGAAGGACACATTACTATTGGACAAAGTGTTTTGAAAAGTGTTCAAAGAGACTGAGAAAGATTAGTTTTGTTTTTTGTTTTTTTTTTTAAACTCAGTACTGTTTTTCCTGTGGGATTTTATTATTTATGTTCATGTTCTTTTAAAGCCAGTTTGAACTGAACATGCAGTTGAACCTTGAACAACATGGGTTTGAACTGTGTGAATCCACTTACATGTGGATTTTTTTCAATAAAAGATACATCTAGTGTGTCTGCCTCTCCTGTGTCCCCTGCCACCTCCTTCACCTCTTCTGCCTCTGCTACCCCGAGACAACAAGACCCAACCCTCCTCTTCTTCCTCTTCCTCAGCCTACTCAACATGGAGACGAGAATGAAGACCTTTATGATGATTCGTTTTCACTTTATAAATAGTAAATACATTTTCTCTTCCATATAATTCTGTTAATAACATTTCTTTTCTGTATTTTCTTTATTGTAAGAATACAGTGTACAATACATATAATATTGAAAATATGTGTTAATTGGCTGTTTTATGTTATCGGTGAAGCTTTCAGTCAACAATAGGCTATTAGTTGTCAAGCTCTGGGGGAGTCAAAAGTTATATGTGACTTTTCAACTGAATGAAAGGTTGGTGCCTGTAAACGCCTGAGTTGTTCAAGGGTCAACCGTATACTTATATATGCTTATGTTACACATACACATGAACAAAATTGATGAATAATTAAAAATACTTTCAGTATAAAGATACGTTATTAGAAGTATGTATTCTGATCCAGTCATTTCACTCACGCTCTGAGGAGGACAAGGAGAACCGGGTGAATTGATGGGGAAGGGAATTTTGAGAGATGAAAGCAACTTAAAGGCCTTTTTTCACAGGAAGTGCTGTCATATGACTGTTAGTTGACTGAAAATGGTAAGTTTAGAAATTCTCTTAAAATATTTTTTGATGTTTAACATGTACTGAGCACTTATGTGCCACTCACACATTTACTGGGAATAAGGCAGAGTGAATGCCAACCTCTAAAGCCAGATTTATGTATGCCAGCTGTTAAACTCATCTATGGTTTTGCCCTACTGAGCTGTCCATAGGAGAGAAGGAACTAAGTTCTGCATTAAGCTGAGAGAAGGTGTTTTTGGAATTCACTTTGTATAGAAGGAGCTGAGAAAGTTTTGAGTATTTGTTCAGAGGGGAACTGTTGAGTAGAGCAGTAAGGAGAAAACATTAAACTTAACTAGATTAGTAAAGTCAAGAGAAGCTAAAACTTGGAGAGAATGAAAGACAAAACAAAGAGAGAAAACTAGCAAAACTGTTTTAAGAGTGAAAGTATCCAGATACATAAAATAAATTCTACTAGAAATTTATCAAAGTCACCTCAGAATTTTCTTCCATGTTTCCTTTATGAGTAACAAACCAGTCCTTACTGGGGTATGGCATATTTTTAGAGAAATTAAAGAAAGCCAGATGGATTTTAATGGATCTATATCTGATTCTTCATAGAAAAATAAGTTAATATGTGCTTATTTATCTTTTGACATAGTAGTCATCTCATGTCAATTGAGTGTAAAGATATAATACAAGAGAAAAATAATATATTAAAAAATGTTTAGTACCACTATATACTAAGAAAATTTTGAAAATATCTTTATATGCAACGAAAAGGAAAATATCTAAGAAAATTTGAGTAAAGTCCCACAATGAAACTCTTAAGATTGATACATTTGAAGTCTATGTACAACATGAAAAATATTTTAACCTATTATAAGAAATTGTTACAATATCCGCTTCCTCTTTTTTCTTACAGCATTTCTCAAATGAATAATACAATACTTAATATATCATGCTTATTATAAATGAAAATTTTCTTTCCATTTTTAAAATTTGAAATTTCTTATTAACAGTGATAGTGTCTTATTCATTTTTCTATCCCTGTCACAGGGCCCACTCTTTGTCTAATAAACTGAACTGAATTGAAGAATGAAGACTTCAAGAAATGAAAAGTGTTACGTTAGGGCAGTGGAAATATTTTTTTTTTACTTCCAAATTTATTTTCTTTTTATTATTTTCTGTTAAAACCTACATGGTTACATTTTTTTATTGTTATTAGTATCTACAGGTGTACCCACATCCATCGTCAGAGATATAATCAACCCTTAATTGGATGTTGTTCATAGATCAATGTCCTTTTGTCCCTTCGGCAGAATCATTTGGCTAACATTTTTTACAGCTACACTCCTGAGGAAGAGTGTGGGAAAAGTAAGGATAATAAGAACCAGAAACACTGGAGAGGTTTCCTGCTGGGCATGCAGAGAATTTAAGACAGACAAAAGTACTTAGGTTGCTAATTTGAGGTCTTTGAGAAACACTTTCAGATCCAACAGTTTTTCCAGGCTTCCCCAAAACCAATTTGTCAAGCTTATCTCCAGTCCTGCCACCCAGCCTAGATCTATAGTATCTGTCTGGCCCATAATCTCTGCTCCACAACATCTGCAGCCTTCCAGTGGCCACTTGACTACTTTTTTCAGGTTCCAGGATTGCTAAGACTGTTTCTACATCCTCAGTTTTCTTTGGTTCCTCAAGGGACTTGAAAGAAAATCCAGAATTCTATCATTTTGCTCTTACATCCTAATCCCCATACTTATTTCCCTCTCCTCCAAGATGAGAAAATGGCTGTTCCCACACAAGTTATTGAGGAAATGCCTACCACACTGCATTGTCATATCGAATAATCATTTAATCACTGACTAAATCTGAGACACCGAGATCAGAGGATTCAAAAACTCTGGAAAACTTTAAAAACCTTTCCAAATTAAGCATTTATTGTTACTTCATTGCTCCCTTGCTACTTAATTTTCCTGAATCTCATTTTAGGAGAAATTTGCTCCTGTAGCCTTGCACACTTCATCTCAATCAATACGTTATTCTCCCTAGAGGTCCCAAATTATTCTTTTCAAATGTCTTTTTTATCTACTCTTGGAAACAACACAAGCAAATGGAGTTTGACTTCCAGCTGTCAAATCAAGTGTTGAGGCAAACCCTGTGAGTGTGAATCACTCGATCTTGCCTTGTTCAATCTGGGTAATGTGGCACAGTCCCAAGAATTCTCCCCTACTACCAAGAGAAAGAAGTAAAAAGCAAACGGTACACTTTTTAAAAGTTGGAAAAAATACTTGTTTATACATTATACATTATTCATTCACATACAAACTAGTAGCTAAATCATGAATCCTCATTTATGTTCCTTGGCCTTCTTTGATATGTTAGGGTGAAGGTTTGAAATGGAATATTTTAAGTGGATCACCCTGTGACTGCAGTTGAGAATTTAACTCAGGCCTCTTTATAATTCCATTCCTGATAATGCACACCTTGGAAAGTGTATCGACAAGATTTCCCTGTTTGTTTTAGGTACTAAAATTTCCTAGTTGAGATAGGTTAATATTCAAAATGTAAGCAATTGACCACATTGTTGATGAGGGCATTAAAAGTTCTATTTGTAAGGAATATTATTAAATATTATTCAAAAAAATTTGTATATCATTATAAATGTGTTACTGAATTTTAAATTCATTTAAGAAACATTATCAATGAATAGATACAATAAAATTTTTCACACTGGGAGGAGTGTTAGTTTATGTTATTTACATGTTGGTTGATATGTTGTCTCAGTTAAAAACAAAATTATATTTCCTCTGGGCCTGATTTAAAGACAGTTTACTAAGTTTGCTAACACATACACACACACAGACACACAGACACAGACACACACACATGCTCATAGAGATTTTATTGTTTTATAGCTAAACCTTATAGATCCTGTTTCCTTGCCTTGAAGGTCTAATTCTCCTAATTCCTGTGTATTTTCCAGAGGGTCCTATGCCATAAAAGGTACAAAAGAAAGAAACAAGCTGCCTGAAGTTTGCCCTGATGATCGTTGTGTAGAGGCAGTGATGATGTTTTTAGAAGTTTTAGAAACTAAAATACCCGATCAGGTTCAGAGACATTACCCAGTTATGTTCTGTGTGCTTTTTATGGTTCATTCAATTTTCATCAAACAAGGGGCAGCAATTCGTTATTTTCCATTCTCCACTGTCCCAAATCCTCAGACTCTATCAAAGCACACCTTGAGCTCCACCTCCCACATTGTGCTCCCCACTGGTGCCAATCTTCCAGCTAACTCCATTTCCCCTTTGTAAACGCTCGATGTGCTGACCTATTTAAAAATATAACTCAGGTGCCTAGCGAACCATGATGCCTGCCAGCTCTTCAGATAAAGAGGATCCACTTATTAATCTGCTCTGTCTCCATCTGCCTGCTCAATTGGGATTGACTGCTTGCTGTCCAGACTGATACCAGGGAAATCTGATTGAGGACAAGAATCTCTTTGTACATTTCCCCCACTGATATGGCACAACAGGTTTGTTGCAGCCAGGGAGTTAAGCTGATGTGACATGATGTCAGATGGCCTGCCATTGTACGTCAGAAATTAAAAAGAAAATATTCTTTCAAACTGGAATTCCTTATGTGATTTTTATTTCCTTGGGCTTTGAGCAGATTGAGTATTGAATTGCTTGACTGGAGCCCATGGATAATTTAATACCTGCAACATTCGTCCCCGGGTGAATTTCAGCCACATTTGACTTGTTCAGCATGGCGTCTCAGTCCTAACCATTTCATGGAAATCTTGTAAATATTGATTGATGAAATCCCAAGAAATGCTTTTTTCTAACTCTGATTCTGAAATGTTCCAGAAGGAAACACCTAATCTCTGTATCCTTCCTCCCTACACCATATCCAGTTGTATAAGAAGTAAATAAGAATTTTGCAGAAGGCGGCACCGTGGCGGCGCCCCCGCCGCAGCCCGTCACCCACCTCATCTTTGACATGGACGGACTTCTTCTGGATACTGAACGACTGTATTCAGTGGTGTTTCAAGAAATATGTGATCGCTATGACAAGAAATACAGCTGGGATGTAAAGTCCCTGGTTATGGGTAAGAAGGCATTAGAGGCGGCACAGATTATAATAGACGTCTTGCAGCTCCCGATGTCCAAAGAGGAGCTGGTGGAAGAAAGCCAAACGAAGTTAAAGGAAATGTTCCCCACGGCTGCGCTCATGCCAGGGGCTGAGAAACTCATCGTCCACCTGCGGAAACACGGCATCCCCTTTGCGCTGGCCACCAGCTCAGGGTCCGTGTCGTTGGAGATGAAGACGAGCCGCCACAAGGAATTCTTCAGCTTGTTTTCCCACATTGTGCTGGGAGATGACCCTGAAGTGCAGCATGGCAAGCGAGACCCCGACGTCTTCCTAGCTTGTGCCAAGAGATTCTCTCCCCCTCCTGCTATGGAGAAGTGCCTTGTCTTTGAAGATGCTCCCAATGGGGTGGAGGCGGCCCTGGCAGCTGGGATGCAGGTGGTCATGGTTCCTGACGGAAACTTGAGCCGAGACCTGACGACAAAGGCCACCCTGGTGCTGAATTCCCTGCAGGACTTCCAGCCCGAGCTGTTTGGTTTGCCCCCATATGAGTGAGAGGGAGGGCCTCACTATTCCGCCCCCCAGCCCATCTCATGGTCCACACTGCTGGGGGAAAGGGAAAGGAAATCAGCAACTCTCAAACCCAACCTGTACAGTGATTTTAGCCTCCTGAGATTGGTGTTTCCATCCCATGTTGGTTTACCCCAGTCTAATGTGTTGTTAAAATGTGACTTGACAGTTGAGACAAAAAACACAGTAGAGACAGACATGAAGCCCAGAACAAAGATGAAACTTGAATTACCATCTCAAAAATCAAGCTGATGGAGTATGTGATAAAGTGAATGTACACGTATACACACACGCACCTCCATATATACACATGTGTATCAGTTTGGTAACATGCAGGTGGGCATTACATGCATATGTATGTAGATATATGCATGCATGTATATGTAAAATATATACTTTTCCAAGACAAAATGGAACATCACTTCTCTCTTATTCTAGTTTTTCTGAACACTGGCTGGGAAATGTAAAAAGTGTATGCATATAAGTATATGCTTTATGTATGCATATGTATGTAGATATGTTTATATCTATCATCTGCATCACTCTCCTTAATGTATGATTGCAACATGCAATGACAACTGATAAAGCGAGATGGTAGTTCTGCCTGGTTTGCAATCTGAGTGGAAAGCCCTGTTTTTGATGAGCACTCCTTGTTAGCTAACATTTAAATTCTTTTTGTGACCTCAGAATGTCTCTGGATCTTTCTTCATTGACTGACTCTGAGCCACATCATCCATAGTTTATTGTTAGTATGAACACAGCTGTAACATTTACCTGGTATCTACATCCTTATCTACATTGGAGAATGTTTTCTACCTCAGAAGAACCATTTGCCTCCTTTAAGAACACTGATGGCCTACACTTTTTGGATAGAAATAGAATTTGATTTCAGAATGTATGCTTGGTGAGTCTGAGTGCCCGGGAACACTTTTGGAATAATTTATTAGACATTAAACTTCTGTGATTAATCACTTTTATAGATTTACTCAGTCTTTAAAATTTATCTATGATTTGCCAGAGAAAAATGGTGGTAACCATGGAAATCGGGAGTGAAGGAGCGCTGCTCCGTTGTGGCTTGCCTCTGCCCTTTGAGGTCCTTGAGCTACTCTTCAGCTCTGGAAGTTGTGGACAAACCATAGGAATGCATGTGTGCGTGTGGTGGAGTGATTGTCTGTGGATGACAGGCCCTGGCTATTGATTGGTATTGCATCAGTTTAGCAAATTCATTTCCTCCTTCTTGATGGCCTAAATACATGTCTGCACTTTGCTCCTCTTAACCAGTTGTAACGTCTTACCATTTCCCTAACAAATTGAATTAGTTTAATAAAATCTTTGGACACACACACATAAAAAAAAAGAATTTTGGATTTTCTTTTATCCTTCTCCAGTTAAAACAATCAATTCTTACTACTTTAAAAAAAATTAAAATTTGTTCCACTAAACTATGCCTGAGTAAGTAAATAAGCAAATAAATAAACTCAAACCATAAAAGTGGAATCAAAATGTTATTATTTCTTAGGACAGTTTTTTAATACTTCAATTTGAGGTACTGGATACATAATATAAGCTATCCAGGAGAATATAAACATAGTGTATGTTTATATGGTTCTTATGGACTAAATGATGAGTATTCCATGTGAAAAGTATTCTGATTTTAGTAGGAGGTTGTGTTTTTATTGAAAAGATAGATAGAACTAGCCTTGTATCAAATCTAAAATCAAAACTGGATGACAACATGAAATTTCTAGAATGTGTTTATTAATGTAAAATTCAGAGAAAAAAGACAGACACAAAAATAAGAGTTAAAGATCTTATAGGAATTCATGGTTAGTAACAAAGAATAAAATATTACTTTCTTAATATTCAGCTTTTACTCTTCAGTAAAGGCTAATCATTTGTTAATTTGTGTAAGCTCCAGTGTTTAAAAATTCACACATGAATGAAATGTGTGGCTGGTTTGTACTGTTTATTGTAAATTAAACAGTCTAAAATGTAAATATTATTGGGGAAAATAAAATCTCCTTCATTCAATGCAAATAACTCTGAATAAATTAATAAATTGACTAGCCTCTCTTTAATATTTACATGTTATAAGTGTATTTGTATGTGTGTGAGTGTATCTGTGCATATGTGAACACAAGATATTCGAAGCACTAGAGAAAAAATAACTTGGTTAAACAGATGAAGCAAGTACAGAGCAGAAACAAAAGTGGCACAAGTAAAGAACACCTTTTAAGTATCAAGAAATTGCCTTAACAAAAAGTGATTATAGGATATTTTCTCGAGATATAAAAGGGAAAAATATTTTCCAGAATTTTTAAGACTAAAATATAAGAAGAAAAACAAATCCACAAAAAGATAAATGAAATAAAACAATTCAGTTTTAATCTTGCTATACTGGCTTAGTGTTTACCTAGCTATTGAGTGTTTCTTACCTTCATTTCCATTTCCCCCAAATCTTAGAGCAGGAAAGATAGTGCATATTGTTTATACTAGACAGGACATTGCTTGTGATTTTTTTATTCTTTTCTAGATGAACTGGACTGAAAAGAGGAAACCTGGGAGAAAATTACCCTTTATTGATTACCCTAAATCATACCCTCAAAATCTACTACAAGCATGCATCTCCTTGTTTATTCTCTTCTGGAAACTGAGTCAAAGGGAAGCCCCGTTAAAACCGTCCTCAGCTCCACAATGAGAGAAAAGTGAGAAATATAAGGGGAGTTGGAAGATATCACATTACTGGAACCATAAATGGGATTCTTCAGAAAAGTAAGGATTTCCATGACCAAGTTAGATCATCCAGCATGTGATTCAACTGAAGTTTTCATACTACAAACTATGGAAAGGCATGAAAATCTACAGGACACAAAAATATATTGACTTGCATTTTGTAGGACGAAGTTTAAGTATGATATTCTGCTAACAATAACATCCAAAAGTAAAAAGCTCTGTCTGTTCCATCTTGTATGCCACACAAAATTATGTACTTTGATTACTCATTAAGTATCAATCAAAAATTGGCACGAAGGACTCAGTGACAAGTTTCTTCTCAAAAGCAGAAACTTACCAATTCAGGCCAGGCAAATGAAACTTAAGTTTGCAAGTAGCTCTAGAAAGAAAATTATTTTACAGACTCCTAAGGAACAAAAGCACTATAAACAAGCAAATGTTATTTCCTGGAGAGAGGATGTAAGAGAAGGAAATGAGAAAATAAATGTTGTTCATTATTAATTTGCCATTTGGTTCAAGGAAAAAGTTCGCAGGCAAAGTTGTTTGTATCTTATACTTAATATTTTTCCTATCACACGATATAATTTCAATGGTTTTTTTTCAAATCATGGTTCCTGCTTATCAAAAAAGCCTTTTTCAAGCCAATCAAGGTGGGAGACCACAAGGTTTAAAAAGAGTTCATTATACCAACTCAAATGGAAGATATAAAATAATCAATTTCAAAGGGTAGAGACTATTTTCTATCAGCATTTGTAATACGACTCATTATTTCACAGTTTTTCTTCCGCCCTTCCTCTATTCCTACCCTCAAATGCTCTGTGGTAGAAAACTTTGACCTTGCTGAGAGAAATAATAACACAACATATCTGCACCATCCGTGAGATTAAGACCACCCTCTGAAAGAAGCACCTCAACTGGCAAAATACAAGTGAAATGCATGAACACACTGAGGAACTCTTTGCCTTGTTCACCTTCTTTCTAAATAATTCATCAGTTTAATGATAATGACATTCAAATATCATAATTACAGCTGACTCTTTAAAAAATATCAATTCTGGGGCCCAAAATGGAGCGACCAGCCCCCACTCCTTTTCCCACCATTAGCTATTAATGCCAAAATATGATCTTTATTCATTTCACTGACATAATATAAAACCAATGTAGATTTCCCATTTTTCATAAAATTTTCATCTGCACTATTAGTTTCACTGATAGCAGACTGCAAAATGTTGTTAAGCTACAAGATGGAAGACACTGCAAAAACCTCAGCATGTTAAGAAGCCATAAAATTTTATTCAGTTCATTTACTGCTACAGTCCAGTAACCCTATAGTAAGAGTGTGCTATTTTTATTGTGTATTTATTTAAAGGTTGAATATTCTGTTCCCTGGACTAGATATCTAACAGAGTTAATCTAGATTACTTATACACTGCGTTGTCTTCTACTTTGGGGTTTATCATTTCCTTGAAAATGTTTTTGTGTTTTGGCTATTGTGAAGAGAGATAATAGCAGAATATTGAAAAGAAAACCTTGCCTTTGGATAGGTGGCTCATTTATGCTCAGAATTAAACCAGGGTATGGGCCTCACATGACACTGAGGAGAAGGACTCCCTTTTCCCCACCCTTACTCCATCTTATGTCTCTAGAAATACAAATCTCAGTGCATAGTGCAATGAAACACAATGTAAGAGACTTTGTATTGGTCAGTGTGGCACTCTGCCGGAGGTGCTTGACTACTTATACAATCCCGCAGAAGTCAGTCACATTTCTCATGTATTGCTTTGTCAGTATGTCTTAGCAGTTTGACATAAATAGGTAAAATATTTTTAGATTAGCGTGAGGCAGAACATGCTTCAGGTCTACTAATAAAACCATTGCCATCTAAAGCTAGCTTATCTGTATTATTATATTATATGAAATTTGCAAGACGAGGACACAAACTAGAGAAGAGATATAGTGCACATATTTTGTCAATATATGGGATATATCTAAATGTGCTGAGGGGCCTCCTCCACAGGCTTCCTGGGCCATGGGACAACAGCAGTTACGCCAGTGGTGATTCTACTATGAAAAAAAGCACACAAGTCAATTAAAGCCAAAGGAGCCCAAAAAAGGATGTAGATGGGACTGTTATTGTTGTATTTGGGTTTTCTCCCTTAGAACTAGTGTATTGGTTGTACTAGAGTTAGCAAATGCCCTGGAAATTCATTGTTGTGTAAATATACTTGGGCCTCAGGAGTAACAGTTCCCCTGCTCAGTCCCAATTAAAGGCCACATAGAAACTCCAGGTGCAGTAAATAGATAAACTAGCAACAAAAACTACAATAGCAAACAGACCAGACAAATGATCTACACCATCCATAATACATTCCGCCTGTGTCTGTGACTTGTTAGAAACCTAGAAGACAAGCCTGTCCGGACTTGGTCCCCTCATCTATAATACAGGCTGATAAGAGAAACTATGCCAGTTGCAGTGTTTTCTCTTGAAAGTTCAAAACATGGGGTTGATAAAAGCAAAGTGTGCATTTTTAAAGGCACATGAGAGAGAGATTTAAATCACCCGAGATAGTCTGTATTTATTCATTCCATAGAGGTACAAAGGCTCTGTCTGGGTAGCATTAAAGAGTAAAGGTTCAAAAGGAATATGTGAGAGTCCCCAGGAGACTGGAAACATAAGAATGCATTAAAATGAGATGGAGAATGTGTCCCAAAATAGCCAAATAATGACTGTTTGTAGTTACTATCTTGTTAGCATCGATTGCGGAATATTTGAGGGCCTGGGAGAATCAATGTATATGGTAAACAATCACCTCCTAAACTGAAATGTCAGAGATACGATACAGAATAATGAATATAAAATCTAGACAAAACTAATGACCAAACAAGATAAACAAATTAAAACAGATAAGCCATGAAGGGTGAGTGACTAACGATTGAGTTAGGCATAATGCCAGTGAAAATCTGTCCATTTGAACAGCCTTTGCTGTGTGGTGTCAACACAGGCTGACAGCTGAGCCCAGCGTACCTCCTTTAGCTTCTGGAATATAAAAATCTGGGCTGTGGATGCTGAGATGCAGAAGCCAGGTACTCAGGCAGTGGTAGTGAAAACCATTTCCAGATTTTACAATTTTACAACCATCCATTCATCATTTTCAGAGATGAAAGGATATATCTTCTGCTTATTATGCACCTGGCACGGGAGTCTTGCATTCATAGATACCCCCTAAAAATGATTTTCAAACTAGTTTTTTTCCTCCATTTTTTGGTATGTAATTTTTTAAAGGGTGCTAGAAGTCTTACTTGATATCTCTTTCAATTCTCCTTTATTTTGTGCACTGTCCCTGTTTTCTTATTTTGAATTGATTTGTGAACCCCTTTTTACAGCTAAATGAGTCAGCAGAGATGGGATGTTGATAGATCTCATTGGACTTTGGTCAACATTGTTCTGAAATAAACGGAGCCAGTATGCTTTAATGGTACACTCCATCACAGAAAAAGCTCTGCTTCCAGCCTCCAATCATTCAGCAAGTCCTTATAACCTAAAAGGTTATTATTAGACAAACGTGAGATTTTGGCAAAATTTGATCTCTATGGTGTCTCTTTTTTTG